TAAAACACGTGTTTGAGATTTAGAATGAATACATCACGATTCATTATTTTTCTCTTTTCAATATACATTTTTCCATGTGTGTGTTTTGTGATTTTTCTCCCAACATGTGATTTAGATGAGTACACACACACACTAAAAAACCAGAAAACAATTCAAACCTAAATGTAAATACAAGGCCTTTTGTTGGCATGAATATGTATGAGTGGATTTTACAAGAGCCTTTAGCGTTGAAAATTATCCTTGGATATTAGTCTGGGATAGGAAAAATGCTTTTGTACGCAAATGTTGTAGCAGGAAAGGAAAACTCATTAAAAACAATAGCACCAACAAGGATTTGGCAGAACAATAATCAGATTTTTGCCTTTGATGGCTGGATACATACTTACATTGGTATCTATGTACATACATCAATACATATATCTGATTGTATATTCAGTGTTATTGGCAAAGGTTTGAGATAACCATTGACAAGTCAAGCATGGGAAGTCGGTCGTTTCTGCTGTTCCTTTCACTGGGAACATCAAATGCGTCAATGAGAGAAATACGCATGTTCTTCCTTTTCTATGAGAAGACATGATAGTCTTCGTTTCTTGTCGTTTCTGAGAACCCTACTGGTTTCCTCTGAGAAGCCCTCTATGGTCTCCTATGATCAGTCCAGCTGGTCTTCAATGAGAAGACCTTAATCTTGCTTTCTATCAGAAGACCTTCTTCTGGTCTTCTATGAAAATACCTTCTTCTGGCCTTCTATGAGAAGACCTTCTCCCGTCTTGTTTGTGAAGATCTTCTCCTCCTCTTCTATGAGAAGATCTGCTCCTCGTCTTCTATGAGAAGACCTTCTTCAGGCCTTCTATTAGAAGACCTTCTTCTGGCCTTCTATAAGAAGACCTTCTTCAGGCCTTCTAAAAGAAGACCTTCTTCAGGCCTTCTATAAGAAGACCTTCTTCAGGCCTTCTATAAGAAGACCTTCTTCAGGCCTTCTATAAGAAGACCTTCTTCTGGCCTTCTATAAGAAGACCTTCTTCTGGCCTTCTATAAGAAGACCTTCTTCAGGCCTTCTATGAGAAGACCTTCTTCAGGCCTTCTATAAGAAGACCTTCTTCAGGCCTTCTATGAGAAGACCTTCTTCAGGCCTTCTATAAGAAGACCTTCTTCAGGCCTTCTATAAGAAGACCTTCTTCAGGCCTTCTATAAGAAGACCTTCTTCAGGCCTTCTATAAGAAGACCTTCTTCAGGCCTTCTATAAGAAGACCTTCTTCTGGCCTTCTATAAGAAGACCTTCTTCAGGCCTTCTATAAGAAGACCTTCTTCTGGCCTTCTATGAGAAGAACTTCGTCTGGTCTTTTATAAGAAGACCTTATTCTGGCTTTCTATGGGAAATCCTTCTTCTTGTCTTCTATGGAAAGACCTTCTTCTTGTCTTCTATGAGAAGAGCCCCTTCCTGGCCTTCTGGGAGAAGACTTTCTGGTCTTCTATGAGAAGAACTTCTGGTCTTCTGTGAGAAGGCCTTCTTGTCGTATCCGACAATCCCTACTCTTTGTCCTCTATTTGAATACCTTCATCTGGTCTTCTATGGGAAGCCAATTTTGGTCTAATATGAGAAGACATTCGGTTCTTCTTGACCTTAAGCTCAATTATTGGAAGATTTTCCGCTCTTCTATGAGAAGACTTTACGCTCTCCTATTAGAATGCCTTCTGCTCTTCTATAAGAACACCTTTTGCCATTCTTTTAGAAGACCTTCCGCTCTTTTATAAGGAGAAAACCTCATGCTCTTTAGTAAGAAGACCTTCTGGTCTTCATTTTCCTATATTTCTACTTTCTTTTACTGTCGAAATATAAAAAAAATTAATAATATTTACCACCATTGACATTGAACTCAATTCAAAAAGGAAACCAAAAAATTTAAAACACTTACAAAAATTAATTTTAATAATACATATTTTAATTACCCTCAATTAGTGAGTGTGTGTATGTCCGAATAATTGTTGATATTTAACTTTTTGTAAAATTATTTTTATTGCTCATAACCGTTATTATTTTTTTTTTTTTTTTTTTTTTTTTGAGTAATTTCTGTTTATGTTAAATTTCGGTTGTTTGTTATAGCCAAACCTGAACGCACACTTGATTTTTCATTTGTCTCCCCTCTTTCCAATCTCTTTCCAAAATTTAAGCGATTGCCATTGCATTAATAAATAATTATTGGTAGCCGGAAATTGTTGAATTTTTAAATATGTATAAATGACCACTTAAAACTAGCTTTGGAGGGGTGGAAAAAATGTGTGTGTTTTATTCGAAATTTATGTATGTCATCATTAATTGCATAGTGAGTTCTGTTCCATTTTAAGTTCTATGATTAACTGATAACAAACCAAAAACAAAAAATATATAAATAAATGACTAAAACAAATTTAAATTTTATTCTGCTGTATAATTGCTTTTAATATAAATTGATAAGCCATCCACTCAAAAAAAAAAAATAAATAAAAAAATGTCAAGGTAAATAATTTCTATAATCATTGGAGCAGAGCAATAAAATATTCTTGTTTTTTGGAATTACAAATTTAAATTCGATTAAATTTGGGGCTTGATTTTTTCGGAAGGTTTTTCATTGAATGATGGAGTGGGTTTGGAGAGATTCAAATTTTGTTTGGAATTTTAAAATGGGGAAATAAATGCATTTTTGGACGCATATTCAAGATAGAGAATGTCTTGGTATGAGTTAAAAAGAAATCTGGTCGATTGGAGATCAGGCTCTTTTAACTTCTTTATAGTCCTTTATAGTTCTTATGCCACGGTCGATTAATACGAGCGAAGAGCGACCGTCGGTTGTTATGGCGGCCCACACCATCACCATGGCCGGCGCTTGAGTTCTGGTGACCAACCGAAGGTGCAAATCTCCATTTTGTTTGTTTATAAACTGCTGGACAACTAATTTTTTCTCATCGAAGAAACCCCAATTTGGCAGTTCACCACTTTCGGTCCATTTCTGCAGATGTTGCTGTTTTCTGATGATACAAGACACCAAAGATTTATTCACATTAAAATGCTGGAGAGCTCTAACGATGGCCATTTGTGGTTTTCCAGCCGAATATAAAGAAATCACAGTATCACCCTTAAACTCCATCACGAATAACTTTTTTTCTGGAAAATTCTCACCAAAATGCTTTTGTACGCTTGTAAACAATATAATGAGCTGTCACTGGAATAATTTTAACAGCTGTCGGATGAGTGGCTTAGAAATGACAGCAGTCTGAAATTGGTTGCAATATTTTCATCTTAAAGAGATATTTTGGGGTTAAAACCTATACTTGGTGTGAATTTGTGCTAAAATCTCCGAAAAAGCATCACGTTAGAAAAGCGATGTTAAAGTCAAAAATATTCCTTATCAAATTTCAATATGGGTCACCAAAGAAAGTAAATCTCTATTTTTATGGTATATCAATAAAATAATAGCATAATTATTCCCAAAGAGCAGCGAAATTATTCCCCAATTTTTTGGGTCAAATTTTCCTAGGACTTTTTTCGATTTGACGCCCGAATGTCATATAAAATTTCATTTTAGTTGCCAGGTGTCAAATGAGTAAATATTCTACACAAAATTTCATGATTAATTTCCAAATAGACTATCTTTCTAGGTTTAACAGGTTCTTCGGAAATTACATTTGAAATTTATGTATTACATGCGAAAATTACATATTTACGTTTTTATGCAAATTTAACAAGTTTTTTATTTTAAGCCAAAATCTCCCTTTATTCTTCATTTTTCGAGGAAAACATCAAAGTAAAAAGTGTTCTACACATAATTTTACTTTAATTTTCAGAAAAAAATATATATCTATGTTCAATGGTTTTCAAGAAAATTACATTCGCAATGCATGTACTATAAGTGACAATGATGTGTTTGCATTTTTTACTGCAAATTTAAGAAGTTTCCAATACGAGACAAATTCTCCGTTTAGTTTTCATTTTTTGGGGAAAGTATTAAAGGAAGAATTGTTCTACATCAAATTTCATTGTCAGTCTATGAACAAAAGAAATTTGTTAATTCAAAATTTACCATGAAAAAATATCATCAGTTTTTTTAATTAAAAAACTTTTGTTATTTCTTAAGGATTTACCACTTTTTTTCTCCAAATCGTTGGAAGTTTTCTTAAACTTCGACTGTATGATAGGCAGTCTAGGTTGGAGGAAAATTCATGTGGACCTAAAAGAACTCATCAAAAATCCAAAAGAGTTTAGGGTTCTTAGATGAAACCTAGTTAGATGCGATGAAAACTTTCAAAAAGCCGATATACGTGTCTTTTCATAATCTGTTGTATATCTCCAATAATTATTTGGTTTTTTTTTGTTGCCCAGTGTTATTATCGAATTCCTTGTGGATTCAATATTATATAACAATAAAAATAATGATGCGCGATGTATTATTATTATTTTGTCATTTGTACAATAATAATTCATGAAATAAAAAAATAAAAAAATAGCAATAAAAGATGATAGCCACAAAAAAGCGAATTAAAATAATATTAACAATACACACGAGACTGGTCACACATACACACACTCGCTCTCACACACCCTTGGCTAAAATTGTTGTCAAGTTTAAAACCAATCTGATCATCATCAGTTCACATTTAAATTGATAATATTTAAATGTTGGCATTAACGACGCTAGACAACCAAAGCGGTTGGCTCTGAGCCGGGTTTCGATGATACAATTTGTGTTTAGTTGTTGTTGTAGCTTAAACGGAAGAGCAACGTCGATATATGTGGCGCTCGATATCAAACGTGAATGCGTCGAAAAAAAATAATATTGAATAAAGATATAAATTAAAAATAAAAATTAAAAAAAAAAACATTAAATTGTAAAATTTATAAAATAAAAAAATAAATATTTTTAACGGTTTCGGTTTCAATACAGTTTTTATGGACCAATATTTTTGTATCTATATATTTATTTTTTTTTATTTAATTATAATATATATATATTTTTCCCGAAATCTAGCAACATTCCCACAAATGTATTAAATGAAAAAATAAAATATATTAAAAAAATAAAATTGTGATAAAAAAGTTAACCAAATATTGGTACATCAAGAAAAAAACTCAAACATCTTGTAAAAACAAACATGTTGTGATATTAAATATTTAAAGGCCACAAATCAAGCGAAATTTTCATCTATAAAAAAATATCTGCCTGCAGTGTTTACAAAACCCCCATAAACGTCATTTACCAAGCTTTTTGACATCCCAAAACAAGCGAGAAAAAAAAACAAGTGCAGACATCTAAACAAAAATCAAAAATAGAAAAAATCAAAATATACAAAAAATAAAAATTCAATAACAATACGCCCTCCCCAGAAGATCTCTATAAAATTATCCACAGCAAAAATTAAGAAAAAAATCGAAGAAAAATAAATAAAAAATACAACAACATTACAACGATAAAGCTAGCAACAACGTTTTTGTTCTCTTGCATCTGCCCAACTCCAACAACAACAACATCATCAAGGTGGCCAGCCAAATTCGAGCACCAGCCGTAATATCATCAGCACCGCCACAAACACCACAACCAGTATCAGCATCAGCATCATTTTGTAGCAGCTTTAACAACTGGCCCATAACAAATCAAAGGGTAAATTATTAAAAAGAAATAATATTGCATTGTTGTTGTTGTAAAACGCCTACCTCCTTCTACCCACCACCACCACCACCACTACCATGCATTTCATCATGTTGTCATCATAAATGGATTTGAAAGAAAGAAAAAAATAAAATGGTTGTTTAATGTTGTAAAAACTTAATATATTAACCTTGGATGTTGTGTGCCATATTTAAGAACGCAAGAAAAATATCATACGGAAAATCATTTACCATACCATCTAACCCTCAATGGCTGGTTCCATATCCTTACTCCTTACAAAAAGGCATCTCTAATCCACAAAAAAAACCCCCATTGGATCATCCGACCATTCCACATTACCACCACTACTCCTTTCCTCTCCCCCACCCCTCAAACATTGTTGAAATCCCCGAACTTTTGGAACTCATCATCAGTGGAAAGCACCAAAAATACATTTTCTTTTGCTGGGGAACTCTATGATTTGCTGCTGCTGTTGCTATATAAAAATATATAATAAACCAAAAAATCATAATTTATATATATTATTTTTATATGAAATATATACATCATCTTGTCGTTGTTGTTGTTGTCGCCTACTACACCACCACAACTATTATTACTACTACTACTACTTACACCACTACTACTACTAAAAAATAATCAACACCACCACCTTCAGCCACCTCGAAAACAAAAAATTAACCATTTTTTCTAACGAAAAACAAGTCAAAGAAATCGTCCAGAATCTTTTTTTGGAAAAATAACAACACTTGTTCTTCATCATCTTCCAAAAAAAAACGAGCAACTTTTCCACTTCAAGCTCCCATCAACATTGTTTATAAACAAAACTAAGAAAAAAAAATCAGCAATCCAAAAACTTAACAAATCGTATTTTTTTCTCTCTCTCATAGACCTTAACTAGAAATCTAAATTAATAAATTTCTTTTTTATCTTTCTTTTTTTATGGTTTCTTTGCCACAAAAAAAAAACCGAAATACCAAAAACCTTAACAAATTATCTAACAAAAAACAAATGAATTGGCCCAATTTGCAATAAAATTGAATTTGAAAAATGAAATGAAATGAAAAAATTCCCCACCCCAAAAGATCCGGCAAATGTTGATAAACAATGTTTATAAACATCGAGCACAGCAAGAGAGCAGTAGAAGGAGAGAGAAATAAAAGAGATGCCTACAGATAATTCAAGGATATAACAAAACGTCCATTCAACCAACCAACCAACCAACAACCATCCAAGCAACTGTAAATGTGATAATTTTCCAATTTCCATTTTCCCCCATAAAGAAAAACAAAAGAGAAGAAAAAAAATCTCCAAAACCTACAAATTATTTGACAAGACTGAACAAAAGATAGCTGGAAAGCTCTTCCTGAATCACAAAACACAACGTCCACAAAAAAAAACCGAAAAAAATGTCACAAATAAATGCCCTTAGCGAAAGTCTCATGACAAATGCCTTCGATTTAATTGGAGGCTCCACCATGGCCCAACAGTTTTTGGAGCATATGGATTTTTATGCCAACAATGGCACAACAACAACAACAACACATCACAGTCATCATCAACACCCAGAACATCAAAATTCACAGACACCATCACCCAATTCCTCCACAACGACGACGACGGCGACGACGAATAGTGGTTATCGACAACAACAACAACTGCCAAATAATCTGGATTTTCATCAACAAACTATGGAAGGATTCTTCCCCACCACCAAACAAATGATGATGTTTGACAACCAACAACATCGGAATTCAAAGTCTGAAAACAATTCATCGGCCTCCTCATCGCCAAGTTCCTTAAATTCCAATCATTTGTATAATCATTTTTATAAACCACTACAGCAGCAGTATACAGAAGCAACAACAAACCAGCATCAGGGTGGACCAAGTTCCCCAGCAAACATGCCAAGGCTGTATGAGCTGTATGGGCAACAAAGCAATCCACAACAACATCAGGCCTCAATGCAACATTCCCTCTCCAACACGAGTAATCATCTCAATCACCACCACAACAACAACAACAACCACCACCACCAACAACAACAATCATTAGAAAATAATTTATATCAAACCTCTCAGCATTTATCCAATTTAAATATACAGATGGATTCGCAACAACAACAACAACAGCAACAAAACTTAGCACAAACAGCTGTGATTGGGCCAACATCGTCATCCACATCCGGCACTTCATCGGCAACATCAGTTGCAACCATGATGGGCTCCAGCAACAATACAACCTTGGTGTTGGGCAACCATAACTCCGCAACGAATAACAACAATGCCAACAACCATTTGAATCATAACAATAATAATAACAACAACAACAATAATAATGGCCCTAACATGGGCAATAATATGAGCGGATCATCGTCGAGTACGGCTACGTCGGTGTCCACCGTTACCACATTGGCAAATCCAATATCACCTCAGCAGCAGCAGCAAGAGCAACAATCTCAGTCTCAACAGCATCAGCAATATCATCATCAGCAGCATCAACATCAGCAGCAGCATCATCAGCAACAACATCAACATGAAGGCGGCTCAACATCTCCCTATAAATCCTGTTTGTGTTTTGGTGAGTTTTAAACAAATAAATGTTGATAAGAAAGTAAGAGACAAGAAGGGAAGAGGAAATTCTTCTCAGTTTTATTGTCTGTCTTTGAAAATGTTGTTATCTCATCAACGCTTTTTCTCTCTTTCTCTCTCTACTCATCGGTCACCAACCAGCACCACCACCAACACCATCTCAACCACTTTAAGCAACATCAACATTACATAAAAAAATATAAAATAAAAATAATAATAATAAATAAATAAAAAAAAATCATTCAACATCTCAACAATAAAATGCCACATCAAACAATGCCATCAAACATTAAAAAAAAAAAAAACATTAAAACAAATTATAAATAAAATTAACATCACCAACGTTAAATTAAGCGTGTAACTCGAAATTTATATGAAAAAAAAAAAAAAATCATAAATCTTCCGTGAAATATCATAGCATTAAACGTTTTATTAAGTTCTATATGTTTGTGGGAATGTTCGCTTTTCAAGGTTTTCCAAAATTTTCTTCCATAAAAAATTTCTTACATTTTTATTTATTTTCATACGCCACTAATCATTTCATGCCATGTGACGTATGAGTAATAAGGCACATTAAACATACGCACCTTGGGTTCAATGGGATGGATGGGAAACAAATGAGTAATGGTAATTGAGGAATTAATTGTGATAAATCTTAGTCTACAGGGTGAGATAAAAAAAATCTGCAACAAACTCAAACGCCATAATTTTTACATTATCTTTTAATTTTATTAAAAGAAAGCAAAATTTGTCGGAAATAGCATCAAATTTTAGAATAAGTCTAGATTTGTTCGAATTGGTCACCTTTGGCACGAATTATGGCCTTAAAACGGCCAATGAAACCTTTACACGCTGTCCGAATGTTGCTCTGCGGTATTTCTGTCCATTCCCGGGGAAATGCTTGCTTGAGGTAATCTACACTTTGGTATTTTTTAGTGCCAACCTTACTTTCCAAAATACTCCAGACACAATAGTCCAACGGATTGGTAACCGGAGTTTTTGGTGGCCATTGTGCACTGGAAATGAAGCGAGGACGGAGGAAATTCCTGTGCTGAGTCCTCTTGGAATGTCCAAGGTCTGCGGCCAAAATGTTTGCGTGCCCCAGCCTTTAATCACTCTCCGGAATATTTTCGCCATGATAATCAGCATTTATTCTGATGCCACGGTCGATTAATATGAGCGGAGAGCCGTCATCGGCTGTTATGGCGACCCACCCATCACCATGGCCGGCACTTGAGTTCTGGTGGCCAAATGAAGGTGCACATTTTAAGCTGACCTCTTTCAATCATTTTGTTTGTTTACAAACTGCTGAACAACGAATTTTTTCTCAACGGACAAAGCCAAATTCGGTCGTTCACCACTTTCGGTCAAGCGAAGCAACTCTTTAGCTCTTTTGAGTTGTTTACAAACTGCTGGACAACGAATGTTATCTCATCGGAGAAGACCAAATTCGGCAGTTCACCATTTTCGGCCAAGCGTAGCAACTCTTTAACTCTTTTGAATCCGGTTTTCTCTCTGTTGCGGTGTAAGTTCTTGCACTTTTTGGAATTTCAATGACTTTATCCCGAGCTCATTTTTCAATATTTGTCGAATGGAATATTGGAATATGTTCAGATCATTTTTCGGTCACTGCGACGCGGATTTCGATCATGTCTACTTCCTTACTTTTCGAACCATTTCTGCTGATGTTGCTGTTTTCTTCCGTCCACTTCCTTAACGTCGGGCTAGGCTACCAGTATCAAGGTAAAGAGCGATGGTACGAGACACAGAAGCTTAATTCACATTTAAATGCTGGAGTGCTTTAACGATAGCTTCTTGTGATGCTCCAGCCAAATATAAAGAAATCACACTATCACGCTTGAATTCCGTTACGAATATTTTTTTCTGGTGAAAATTCTCACCAAAATGCTTTTGTACGCCAGTAAAGAATATAATTATCTGTCACTGGAATAATTTTAACAGCTCTCGGACGAGTGGCTTAGAATTGACAGCAGTCTGAAATTGATTGCAGTTTTTTCACCTCACCTAAGGTCTGGTGTGACCCCTTCCCTACGAAGGGGTCAAGATTTTGAATATCCACGAAGCCCATAAAAAATTAACAGCCGATTTCTTGTGGTACCTCCTCCACATTGGGTCAAAATTTTGATTAATATAAAGTCTAGTCCAATTGGTCTGGTCATTAGTCTTCCGATTGGCATTATTTTGTAGAATCAATGTTCTGTCTCATTAGCATTTTTAATTGTCGTATTAGCAATGCCATTTATCATACGTCCCATATGCTGTGTATATTAATAATTTATGCATATTTTAATTAATTATTTTAAAACACTGAGCAATTTATTATTGCAACAAGCAGAGGGAATAGGAAGATGTTGCTAATCATGATTCCCCATATTCCTAGGGGAGGCCAAATAAATTATTGCGAAATCACCTAAATGGGTATATATATTATGGTTATGTATATAAAAATCTGTCCTTAAAATTGAAAGTTATCTCTTTTCGCTTTAGTTTATTTGCATATTAAATTGTCGTATTAGCAATGTCATTTATCATACGTCACCTGTGCTGAATATTAGAATTATGTGTTGATAATCTTTTTATACCCTCCGCCATAGTATGGAGGGTATATTAAGTTTGTCATTCTGTTTTTAACAACTCGAAATATACATTTCAGATTTTTCTCAAATGTATATTATGTCTGCAGGACTTTTGGTATTGAAATTGGGCCAGGTAGGTCTACGTTCTGGTATAGCTCCCATATAATGGCACCTCCCTTTTTTCGGTATTTTGGTGATTTCAGCCACATTATTCACCGGAATTGCTTCAAATTTCGTATTTGAAGTTCGTAATGGATACTGCAGCCTATGATAGAATTCTATCTATGCAGGTCCACGTCTTCATATAGCCCCCATATAACGATACCTTCCGATATTCGGTACTTTGATGATTTTAGCGACATTATTCACCGGAATTGTTTGAAATTTCGTATTTGAAGTTCGTAATGAATACTACAGTCTAAGACAAAAAATTGTCTGTGCAGGTCCACGTCTTTGTATAGCCTCCATATAACGGTACCTCCCGATATTCGGTATTTTAATGATTTTAGCGGGATTTTTTCAAGTTTCCCATTTGCATTTTGTAATGGCTTATGACAAAAGATGCCTATGCAGGTCCACGTCGCCGTATAGACCCTTTTAAAACGGCTACATTCGGTATTTTTACGATTTTAACAGAATTTTCAACGGATTTTCTTTTCTTTGAAAGTTGTCAATTGGTGGAGGGCATTCAAAGTTCGAAACGAACCTACGGGTTATTTACTAGTTTTAATTGATTATTTCCAAGAAAAGTAATTTTTTTCTAGTGGATTTTTTTGAAAATTGTGAAAATTCGTTCCATATGGTGGAGGGTATTCAAAGTTCGTTTTTTACATGTTTTTATGGATTATTTTCAAGAAAAAGGGTTTTTTCTAGTGGAGGCTAAAACATCTAGTCGTAAATCTGTGTTTCTTATGTATCTGTGGGTTCTATAATGTAATAATAGTTCTACTCCCATTAAATTTGCCGTTCGGCCAATAAAAAAAATTCGATCCGATGGAACAGTTGAATTTCAATTACTTATAAAATTTATTTTTTCTCCTTGTTGAGTTTTTTTCTCCCAGTTGAATTTCAATTTCTTTTAAAATTTATTTATTCTACTTGGTCTTGGTCTCAAATAATGCCGTGAAACACCTAGTTCTTTTAATTTATTTGACTATGGGTCGTATGAGTACTGCCATCAATCATACGCACTATTGTCCTTATAATCTTTTTAATATTCTTTGACATTCGTTTCATTTCTATTGAAATTTTACACACATAAATATCTGAATTTTCTCGTAGTATCATCTTTTTTCGAACAAAAATGTTGTCGAATTAATTTGTGGCAACATGCAGCAGATGATGTGCCTGTACCTCATCTGGAACATCCTCTGAAAAAAATAACATCCTTATCGTTTCCATAGTAAATATCATACTTACAGCTTGCTATTTGCTTCCACCAACACTTCCACTTAGAGCAAGTGCAAATACACACCCACCTTTCGGACCATCCTCCATCCATACATCCATCTAACCACCCCTTCATTTCGCCTTGAAAATAATGGGGCTAACAGCGATTATGTTAAATGCGAACAGCAACAACAAACCGGTTAAGTAAATCATTTTGCAAACAAAAACATAGCAAACAACAACAACAGCAGAAAAAATCTCATAGGTCACAATGAAAACCCTTAGAAAAACTTACCTTCATTTTGCACAAAAGACAGTGTTAACCCAAATACCTTATTCTATGTGTGGCAGTATGGCAAAATTTTAACCCCAGCTACACATAGTAGAAAAAAATAACAACAACAAGTGAAACAAAAAAGAAAACATGATAGCATATTACTATGCTGATTTACTCACATACATACATACATAATGTACCATGTGTTGGTATTTGTATATGATTTTTTTTCCGCAAACAACATAACATTATGTGCGTTATAAGCAAAATGTGTGTGTGTTTTTCATACTTCTGGTCGTTTTTCTTATTCTTTGACCCATTTTAACAAAAAAAAAAAAAAAAAAAAAAAAAAAAAATAAAATAAAAATAAAAAAGAAAAAGAAAAACTATTTCCCTTTCCATAACCGTTTTTAATTGGTTATTGTTGTTGCTACTGCGTTTTGCAATAGTGGCAATAGAAAGGTGTAAGGATTTTCCTTAACGTTTCTATTCTTCTCTTCCCTGCAAACTAGAACTGTGCTAGATACATACATAGACGTTCGTGTGCTTTGTAAATACATATACATGTGTTGAACACATAGAGTAACATAGTGGGAGAGCGTAAGAGCGGTTTGGAGTGAAATTTAACTTAAAAATAATTCACCGTTGCCAGAGTTTAAAAAAAAAATTGTTAATTTTTTACGCCACTGTGGCGTTAGTAATCATTCATCGTCATTTCAAAATGCC